CTCTCTGCCTACGGTTTACCGGGCAGTTCTATTTGTGACGATATATATATATTTGACGATATATATCGTCAAATAGAATATAGTAGAATAGAGATATATTAGAATAGCAATAGATATATCTATTAGAATATAAATAATTAGAATATATATTTATCTTATAACACAAGCAATATATTGATTGTATATTTTTTTTATTGCATATTCATATTATATTATCTCATATATATATTGGTGAAACTCCGAGGAAACAGTTTGTCACAGCCCCTCTTTTGTTGTCGTTTTCTCCCTCTCTGCCTACGGGGTATACCGGGCAGTTCTGTTTGACGATATATATATCGTATATATTGTCAAACAGAGCTGCCCCGTAAACGGTAGGCAGAGAGGGAGGGGAGAAAAGGACAACAAACGTGGGGCTGTGACGAACTGTTTCGTCGAAGTTTCACCGATTCATCAGGAGGCTGAACCCTCAACAGTCTGCAGAATCCCCTAACTGATTACACTGTAAGTGATAATCCACCTTAACCCTGGTTGTGGCTAAACATCGACTGCCCGACAACTGATTGTTGAGGTGGGCACCAACCACTGCCCTCAAGGTACCCGTGACGAAAATCAAAGCAGACTATCACTCACCCACACCAGATGAAAAACTCTACAGACTGTCGGTTCACACCCCATCACAAGCCAGTGAAACACCCACGAAACAAAGAAAGGTCTGTCACAGACAAAAAATACACTCTAGACATGCTGCTGGATTAGAGGCACATCATGGCCGCGTAGTGATGGCCCCGACCACTGCCGCTCAACCTGACCGGCGGAAACTTTAGTTGATTTTTGTACATATTTCTGGCCTCCCGGGCAAAGTGGTCCCGGGCCACCGTGGTAGCCTCGAAAAAAAACAAAACAGAATCTCATCAAATCACAGTGCAGAAGCCTGGTAGTGGGCCTTGCTGCACTACTCTCAACATGCACAAAAGACAAAAATATTGGCGGTGTATCTTTCCATATTCTAGCGGAGGATTCACTCTCGTTTTGCACATTTCGAGAGTAGTGCAGCGAGGCCCAGTATCTTCATGTGGTGGAGTGCATCTTGTGCTCACCCCTTTCCAAGTTTCTACCCATAGTTCTGTTAAAAAAGAAAACAAGAAAAAACTTCAAAAAATCTGTCACCTGAGAATGACTAACTGGACAAGTCTTTATGTTTTTTTACTTGTGCTCATCCCTTTCCGGGACCTCTTGGGTTTCACTCACTCTATGAAGGCTTTATGTCGTTTACTTGGACTTCGATCTCTATTTGATCGTGTGTGTGCGAATTCTCGCCCTTGGTACCTGTGATGGGATTATGGAGGGGATTAATCTGATTAATTTTTTTTGATAGCTGGCAATGTCTGGTCATCAAATAGTGTATCGAACACAGCTGCTACTCATTTTCTTCGATATCTTGCGGAGCGTCAATCCCTTGCCCTGGAGAGATCCCCTCCCTTGCAAAGGAAGGTGCATCATAAGTATATACAAGGAGGGCACAGGTCAGTTTGGCCTAGTAGTGAAGCGAAGCCCCTGCGCGCCATGCAGGGCTGACCTGGCAAGAGGTGGTGAGTAGCTTGGGAAAAAGCCCACAGGTCAGTTTGGCCTAGTAGTGAAGCGAAGCCCCTGCGCGCCACGCAGGGCTGACCTGGCAAGAGGTGGTGAGTAGCTTGGGAAAATACCCTATTCTAGGCAGGTGTAATCCTGTGTGCGCCCTTTTTTTTGTCTTTTTTCTTTTTTTCTTATTATTATGTGCGCCCTTTTTGAGAGTCAGGACGGTTGCGATGGCAAGCTGTTTGTAAAATAGAAGGCGTTGGGAAGGCCCTTTCGCCGTAAGCTGATCTGACATGGCACCCGTGCCAATTTAGGGTTGAGCTGGTGAGGGCTCTGGCAAAAGGGCTTTGGGGGGAGTGGTGGTTGAAGATCGATTGGTAACTCTGTTGTTGTTGTTGTTGTTGTTGTTGTTGTTGTTATTGCTGCCTCTTTTTTTTTTTTAACACCACAGCACACATGCCCTGTCAGGGCCGATCTATTATGGGGGGAGGCACTCCAGTTGCTTGTCACTGGCGAGAAAAAGGAGGTTGTGAACAGAAGACAAGTCAAGAAAAGCAGAAAGATCTCACTTCCCATCGCCACTAATATGAACTTCTTGGGTTGTTTCCATTGCGTCTGTCTTTTTCAGGTGACGCTTGGCCCGAAAGGTGTCGAGGAGGTCCATCCGCTGGGTAAACTCTCTGATTATGAGAAAGCCGGACTGGAGGCTATGAAGGCCGAGCTGCATGACAGTATCGAGAAAGGAGTAAAATTCGTGTCTGGACAATAGTTTTTCATCATCCTTCCTTTTAGAACCTTAGCAAACACGGAGAGAGAGAGAGAGAGAGAGAGAGAGAGAGAGAGAGAGAGAGAGAGAGAGAGAGAGAGTCTAGTGGGAAGAACGACTTCAACTTGGGCTGGGGGCTGTTTATTAGTTGGAATTGTAGGGTTTTTCGTCCCGCTGTCTGAGGGGAGGTTTACCACCAGTCTGTCATTCAGTCTACTTCATCCATTTGTCTTTCTATGGAAATCCAGTTATTTAATTTTCTAGCCATCAGCTGTTCATCTTCTTGTTTATGTTCTCCATTTTTAACATTCCATGCATACATAAGTTTTAATGCCTACTTTTCTGTTTCTAACTCTCTACCTTATGCAGAAGTCCCCTACATTGTTTGATCGATTGACATATTGTTCCTGGAATCACTTCTCGACTCAGCAATCGGTATCTGGAGTCAAGTGTGTCCTCCTCTATGGATTGACTCTTGCCCCCCCATTCTGCACTTTCAGATGCACCACACACACACACACACACACACACACACACACACACACACACACACACACACGTGCGTAAACCATGCGTATGTCCGAGCCTCTTATTCAAGTTATTTTCCATCTGTAATTTTGCCCTGCCCTTAAAAATTTGGCTGTCATGCACAGGGGCATATTTGGTTCAATCAGCCCTTTTTTTTTTTTTTTTTCCCCAGTAGGCGAAGCCAATTCACGTGGCATGTTTTCTGGTGCATCGGAAGGCTCAAATAATTGCTGGGGAGCTGCACCTGCTGGAATGTAGATGACTCCAATCATTGCTGGGGAGCTGCACCTGCTGGAAATCAGGTCCAGTGTCCCAAGAGATCTTTGTTGTTCTTCTTACCCCGGTTGGTACTTGTCTCGAGCTTCGTGGTCGATGTTCGTTTTTGCTTGGCCTTATTCAATAAACCACCACCAGTACTTGGCCCAGCTATCTGCCGTGGAAAAAAAAAGAGTGCAAACGTTTCTAGTTGGATGAATTTGGGCACTCCTGTAGTGGCCCGTATGTTTCCTAAAATTGTTGTCTTTTTTTTTTTTTTTTTTTTTTTTTTTTTTTTTTTTTTTTTTAGATAGTAGCTACTGGGGCCATTAATTGCCCGGCTTCGGCTATGAAACTCTTGAGAATTTCTTAACCGTCTCTAGCCACTTGCAGAGATTTTGTATACACCGTAGAAGACCCAAACACCCCGAGAAGTGAAAGAAAAATTGACTGATGCATACAGAGAGACCAAATGAATCCTCCCACGCCGACTAAACCGCCACCCGACCCCAATCCTCCCTCTGGCAAGACTTAGTGCCCGTCACAAGCCACCGTCTCATCAGCTGCTTTGCCTCCACTGTCCCGATCTAGCAGCCAACACACCGGCACTCTCAGGACACACACACAAAAAAAAGAGACAAAAAAAAAAATCACCCTCATCGAATACCAGCCACTCCACTTAGTCAAGGCAAGGCAGAGCTTTTTTTTTTTTTTAATAATTATTATTATTATTATTATTATTATTATTATTAACCAGCCCGAATGGATGCTAGGGGTGCTGGTAAGAGCAGACACCACTACCGTCTTCCCCCGAACATAACGCACCCTAAAAATGAATGTATACAAGCTATATTTCCAGCCAGATACAGCCAAAATAAGGGTGACTTGTGTTCGGAAGAAGAGGGTAGTATTCCTGGTGAGACTCCGTCTATTGGTGGGGAGCAGCACCTGCTGGAAAGCGGGTCCAGCGTCCCTGAACATTGTATCATTGTATCTGTTTATTTGAACATACATGTAGTTGTGGTGGTAGATGTCTGCAGTGCTCAACTACCAAGTACTAGAGTTAAGGAAGTGGAGTTTATGTTGTTGCCTGATTGATTTGCCTACCTAACAGCCTACATTGAGTCTAAATTCAGTGGTAGAATAGACAAATCACATATGTTCTCCTGAGGGATTTGGAGACAGATCTCCCCACTCTCCTAAACAAGAGGCCTTTCCTGTTCCTACGTTGGAGTCTTGTGTATTGGAGCATTTGTAGTGTTGAACCCACTTGGGTCATGATATATATTGTGGCTGCTGCAACCATTTGCTGCCCCTGCCGGAACCTTCGTCCTTTCTGTCTTGAAGCCAGGGTTCCATTCGTCCCTTGTCACCTTCTTGGAATCTTGTGTTTGGAGCATTTGTAGTATGGGACCCACTTGGGCCCTGACATATTGTGGCTGCTAGAACCATTTGCTGCCCCTGCCCCAGCCGTCATCTTTTGTCTATCTTGAAGCCAGGGTTCCTTCGTCCGTGGTCACCTTCTTGCCAGTATCCATCGTCCTGACTCGTTCCGGCCCCCTCTCCCATGGGGAGATTCCCGTCTCTTTTTTTGACCTGAGTCACAGTCACTGATGATGTCCGGGGGCGGATGTGGTAAGCGAGACCCGGGCGGGGGTTGTGGAGGAGGGGGGATTGCCAGTCGAGGGTGGCCAGAGAGGAGATGGCTGGGCCAGGGGTGGTGGCAGTGGCTGTGCCTGTCTATGAGAGGAGCGGTGGGACTGGGAGGGACCAGACTAGTGGTCATGCTAACATGAAGTTTGTTGGGAGCAAGGGGACTTTGAAATCAGTACGGCTATAATACAAACTGCGACTTCCAAAAAAAAAAAAAAATTAAAAAAAAAAAAAAGATCAGTAATGGGTTTTCGTTGCCAGGATGGTTCCAATGGCCTCCATGGTTTCCATCGTATGTTGCGGGCGACGAAGGAGATGCACGCCCTCGCGATCATCCGGCGGTCCGCTCTTTTTTTTAACTACGAATAAATTTTATCGTGTTTTTTCTTCCAACAAAATAGATCCAAAAATGACGTTTTCTCGAATGCTGCGCCCCTTACCCTCGCCACTTTCCGTTGAGCTAGCTGTCTCCTTTTTTGGAGACAGCCAGTTCAACGACCGTTGGCGTCCTTTCTGGAGATTTTTTTTTTTTAATGTTATTTTATTATGTTTTGAGAAATTAAGTTGCATGTACTTCGCTATTTTTGTGACTTTTGAAGGACCGAATATGCATGAACTACGGGCAATTTGATGCCGACCTTTGAAGGACCACATATTCGTCAACTACGGCAATAGTGCAACTCTTCATAGGATCAGAGCGACTCTTTGGACGTCATGTATGCCACTCCAATTGTGGGAAAAAAAAAAAAGAGAGAATGAATTGTATCTTAGGCGGATTTTTTAATGCATTTCTGAATTTGAAATGAATTTAAAAAAAAAGTTTCAGCCGTCACACCGTTGAGCTAGGTCCACTTATCGGTGCATGTGGGACAAGGTCCCAGGTGCTGCTCCCCACCAATAGACTGGAGCATCCAGCGGTAGTCTACCAAAAAAAAAAAAAAAAAAAAAAAATGAATTGTATCTTAGGCGGATTTTTTAATGCA